AGAGAGAGAGAGAGAGAGAGAAAAAAACCTCGCTCTCTTGCGCGCGACGTCGCCGAGCTCTGATGTGGCGAGCTTGGCTGCTTCGCTCGAATTGCTTCGAAATGCAGCAAGCAACACCGCGTGTGCGCCTACAGAGGTGCAGAAGCGCATGCACCCCTGAACGCAGCCATGTCGATCATCTTGCAGGCGACCACGCCGCCGTCGTCCACCTCGCCTTCATGCAGCTGTCCCCCTCCCAACCGGCATCCGCAAAACGCCGACAAGGTTTAGCCATCGGCGTCTAAACAAGCCCGGGACTTCCTTCGGTTTGGGCCGTGCTAACATCAGTCAAAGCAATGTCACTCCCGAAAAGGATGGCAATCGCAGAAGAAATCGAAGTCAGTCGGATTCATCGGGCGATTTCATCACCGATCTGTCAATGTCACCAGCCTCGTCGGGAGTCGGCAATTCGAAGGCGCTGAATTTTCCCCCTCTCGGCTGGGATTTTTTCCTGCCCTGCTCGGAGCTTCGCCAGGGTCCACGCAAAGCCAGGAGGAGCTCGACACCCTCATCCGTTGCTCCCATTTCCGACACCATCACCGGCAACATCCCTTTCAACACGTCAAGATGGGTGGCAAAAAGGTACGTCGCTGGATAAAGGAACACACGTCCTCCTCACAATTGCACCTCGCTGACCACGTATGCATTTACATGCTTCTACAGATCTCGGAGCGTTCGATAAAGAAAAAGTCGGGTCCTACGCATCCATACTCACGAAGAGCCACGCAGCTGGCCAGAGTAGCACATCGCAAGGACAAGCTCAACACCGCCAAGGCTATCCGCGGTCGCTCGTCCAACGCAAAGGTCGACCGTCTCTCCACCCTCATCCTCATGCTTCCCGACGAGCTCGATGCGTTGCCCGATCTGGCTGCCGTCCATGCTTTCGTCGCAGACACCTTCCTCACACGCCACGAGGACGAGCTCCAAGAACTCAAAGCAGAGCGCAGGCCGGGTCGTCCCCCACACAAGCGCGAGCTCGAGATCAAGGAGCTGATGGCAAAGGAGAACCAGGAATACCTCGAGGGCTTTGAGCTCCCAGACCTCACCAGCGCCACAAACGTCAAATTGCTGCGCGACTGGCAGGGCGACCCGCAGGCTTTGCCCCTGTTCCGTATGGTGCGCATCAGCGCCAGATACCCGTAAGTGTACAACTCTTTTAGTGCCACTAGAGACGAGCCGGCTCCTGTACGTACTTTAGCCTTACTCACCCGGCCGTCTCTTTCCTCAACAACAGTGAACAGTCCAAGCTCATGCATCCTGGCAACCACAAGCTCTTGCAGCTCGAGCTGAAGCAGCAGCAAGACGCAACCTCGGCCGACGCCGCCGCCGACATGGACACCACCACGTCCGACTCCCAAGATACCAGCTCTTTCCAGCGCGTTGGTGAATTTGCACAGATGGGCTGATTCCTTTCATTTCGCCCGCACCGTTTGCGCCTTTTGACTCTGCTCGCCATCACATCCATATCGTCTCGACATTTGTAACATTATCTGCTTTCACGAACGCAAAGCTTGCACATCTCCAACCGCTTCACGCCACGAACGTTTTTCCAGCATCTATTTGCATTGAGTCATGAAGCATAGGGATGCTGACTGTGAGAGACATCCCAAGAGGAGATGTTCTAGGACGAAGTCTTTGCCAAGTAGTGGCCGCCGTACCTGGAAAATCTCTTTTCAAACACCTTTTCCAGAAGCGTAGACGGCCACATGACCACCCAAACACCAACGGCGAGCAGAAGCGGCGCAGCGTCCAGAATGAACAGGTAGACTGTGGCGCACAGATGATCGCAAAGACATCAATCCAGCGAAAGATGTGGTGATCAGCGTGGAGCTCAGCGACAGCAATGTATTTGGCCTGCAGACGTTGACTTACTTTCGTGGGACACCAGGTAGCCGCTGTAACCCTGAGAGAACTCGATGATACGATAGATGGACCTGATCTGTGGCGAGGGAAAACGTGAAGAAGGGCGATGATGGTCAGTTTTTGGCGGCTCTCTTTCGGAAGGAAGCACTTCGACTTACGATCACAAAGACCGAGGAAAAGTAGAGACCGGCGACGAGAGCAAAGACAGGGGCTTCCAGACCCATGATTGTGCGTGCATGTGCCATGGCTGCCGGATTGCGGGCGCCTTCCCGGATCACCAAAACCGTGGCGTAGGTCAGGAGGAGCGTGAAGAGCATGTACGACACGCCCTGGAGGATCACACCTGCCAGGAAGAGGTGGTCTCCGAGCTCCGCCATCTTTGCATCGCCCGAGCCGCCGGAAGCCTGCAGGCCGCCAGCCCCAACCTGGACGATAAAAGTGATGACGTCGCTCCAGACAAAGACGCGTCCGACGATGCGGGGAGGGATGAACGAGAAGCGCGACTTTTCCCGCTTGGGTCCTCCGGCCTTGTGTAGCATGGTGAGCTTCTGTGCCGTGTTCAGAGGCTGGCTTTCGAGCTCCTGCACATCCAATGTGGACCGCCCAAAGTCTTGATCGACCGCCAGGATCATTCGTCCGTAGAGCAGGTAGTTGAAGGCGAGGAAGGCGGCGGGCGAGATCACGACGAACATGCTCTGAATGATGTAGAGACCGAGGCTGACGTCGAAGGGATCGATGGACGGACGGACAAAGAAGCCAACCGCCGAGAAAAAGCATCCGATGGGCAGGCAGAGCGCCCACCGTTCTTTCCTTCGAAAGACGTAGTAGAAGAGGATCAAGCTGTACAGCGCATAGAGGCCGCCGACAACGTAGTTGCCTCCGGTGCTTGGCTCGTACTTGAGAATGCCAGTCGGACTCGGCGAGGCAGCGGCGATAGCCCTAGCAACCTTACTGCCACCCTCGGCCGCTGCAGTTGGGGTCGGCCCCACCGAGGCAGCAGCTCCTCCACCGATGGCAAGGCTTGCAAAAAGGAGAGCTTCGATCATGTTGAGGCCAGAAAGAACGGTACGAAAACAAGGGACAGGACAAGAAGATGGGATGAGGGACGAGCGAGATGGGACAGGAGGCCGATGGTTGCTCTTTTATGTACGTCCCAAGTTTCTCTTCCGTGTCGACGATTCATGTCCACGGTTTCGAGCCATCAAGCTGGAAGATCTTTGTGGCGATGCTCGAGCATGTTATCTCGCTTGATCTTCGAAGAGAACTGTCGAGTGAGTTTCTCAGCAGTGCATGTCTTCTGGAGGGGCTCCGGCGGACTCGGACGGCGGACGGCGGCTGTGCTTGGTGCCGAGTGGAGTGCCAAGTCCGGCGGACTTGCCGCGTGCCAACAGCGGCCGTGAGCGAGCGAGCTTTGACAGGTCCGACGGAGTTGTTTCGACGCGTCAAAATCGCGCGCGCCTCACACGGACTCAGCCTCGCATGCTCCGGAGCTGGGCGGAACCTGCCAAACCCACAGACTTGGCCAAATTCGGGTGGAGGAGCTTCGGTCCGTCTTGCCTTCACCACAGATCCTCGCGGCGAGGTTGTCGTCCCGAAGTGACACCATATCTCCACCCTCGATGAGAGCCGATCGGTCGGTGTCGGCGGCTGCGCCACGGAAGCGCCCCTTGGCGCGACGGAGCTGTCTCAAGTGCCGCGAAAAAAAGGCCAGATGCGAGCTTCCAGACGTCTACGTCGACAGCGCAAAGACCCCTCTGCCCGCCGAGAAGCGATGCCATCGCTGCAACGTGCTCGGCATCGACTGCGTCGTCTGGGATGGAGATCGAAAGCGCAAACCTAGACTGGAACGACTCGCCGAATCTCCCGCCAGCAGCTCTGCGGACCAAGAGACTGCAACGTCTTCACATTCATCACAGCGCAGACCCTTGTCCGATGGGCAAAGCCCCAATCCTACAGGTCGTCTTGACCGAGCTTCGGATACATCGAGCTCAAAGAGCTCGAAAAGCCCTTTTGCTGCTGCCACGCGAGTCGCAGCGCCCCAAAACATCGACATCGAGCAGCTCGGAGCATCGGACGTCATGCGTGATCAGCGACTCCTGCTGGGAAGCCAGAAGGGATGGAGGACCGTCTCAAAGAACCTTCTCACCCTGATTGGGCGACTTGACTCGAGCGAAAAGTATTCGAGGTATCTGAGCCTCCGCATTGACGCCCCTCCCTCAACGCCAGACATTCTCGCGTTCCTCCATCCTGACAAGGCAGCACGGCTCGAAGGTGAACTTCAAGTCTATCTCGTGGGTCACCCTTATCTTCCGTCTCTCTCGCAGCTTCACTCTGAGCAGTCGCAGAACCCTACTCGTCCTCGAGCTCTGCTTCTTGCTACCATGACGCTGTTAGGCCTCAAAGGATTCGAAGACGGTTTGGGTTCGACCGACATCCGCGCTCTGTCGAATTATGTGGATCGTCTAGGCACACAGATGCTTTTATCTTCGCCTCGGGACATACACTTGGTCATGGCATTCGAGCTGCTCATTTCGCACGAGCCCGGTCTTGTCGGTACTGCCGCCTCTCAATTCGAGCCGCAGGGACGGGGCCTGGGCTTGGCTTCCGAAAACCTGCTGACGTGCGCGATTCAGATCGCAAAGGAGCTGGGCCTAGATCACGCGCACATCGACCAGCCGGATCCAGCGTCCATGCTAACAGAGGTCAGCCTTTGGTCCTGCCTCCGAGTCTGGGAAAGCCTGTTTTGCCTCATCGCCAAACGTGCTCGCTTTCCCGACGGTCTAGATGCCAAGCTTGCATCGGAGATCCGCGAGGTCCTGCATAGCGTCGACGACCACGCGAAGAAGTTGCCGGAACTGCCTGGACTTCAGGATTCTTTAGGCTCGGCCAGCACCCTACACTACAACGTGCGAGCATACGCAGCCCAAATGGAGAGGCGGATGGGGAAGGATGGGGTCTTGCGTTCCGCAGGCCGTACGGTCATCTGCCTCCGCATGCAAGCATTCTGCCTCCTCACTGCTTCTGTGCGCCAAGTGGAAGAAGTGTTGTCAGACCCAGACCTGGAGCTGCATGAGAAGCAGACGTGCATATCAGATTTGTATGCAAGCAATACCTCTGCGATCCTGGCGATCCGAGACGGAGATTGTCAATTGGGTAAGTCCGAAGTACACTCTGCGCAATGCATGTCCAGACGATGCCTTCTGACTCAAGAGCACGCTTCTATGCCACTATCACAAGGCGTCTACTCGGAGCAACGCATCGTTCGTCTGTGGGAACAGCTCCTGCACATCGAATGCTCGTACGCCTGTACCGTCTTTAGCAGGTACTGTACCTCGGCACTATATACGGGCAAACTGAATGGTCACGTCGAGGTCGAAGATATGATCTGCAGCATTCGAGACAGGCTCCATCAAGACAAGCCTGGCGTGATGGAGCTTGTCTCGAAGATGGGACGTTCAGGGGTGGACCTCAGCCATGACGTGCTTGCATCGATATCCCATCTGGATCGCCAACCCGCTCTACGCAAGCGGACGGCTGCTGGCGGCAATGCATCCGGCTACCTGCACCAGATGCCAGCGCTGCTGGTGAGCGCATTGGCGGTGGACACGGCAAGGAGCTCCTTCGAGAGCATGGCCTTCGTGTTCGTTACCTGGGGTGGCGCTCCTTCCTACTTCGCAACGGCTCTGACGCTCATCGAGGCTGCAGCTGGTCGGGTGAGCAAGCTGGCATCGCAGTCTTCGCAGAACGATGTCGAGACCGTATCGGAGGTGGCGTCCGAGTACCTTCTCGAAATGGTGAATACGGCCCAGGTCTGGCAGCTGTATTATCGAGTCTACCGACCTTTTCGCCGGCCCGTGGCGACCGGAGCAACAGCTTCCACGGCAGAGGAACAACAACAGATGCCGAACCCGACCCACGGCCCGTATCGGCATCAGCGTCAGCAGGCCGTGGAAGTGCAGATGGAAACGGCAACGCCGTCTGGCTCGTCCACCCAGACCTCCGTGGCGCCACTGCCGACTCGAAGCCATCGAGCCGGTCCACAGCGATCAACAGGCGCCAGATCACCCTTTGCAGTCCACGGAGCTGCGGAGGAGAGTGTCGATGACGCTGTGCCGTGCTCCTCTGCCTTTCCGACTGCTGATGCACTGCTGCATGACGGAGAAGCGCTCAGCTCCAAGTCGGAAGACACCAGTGCTTTGCTCGCCTTGCCGGCCTCGATCAGTGCAGCCGTGCCACTTTCAAATCTCATGTACAGCACACAGTCGAACGCTAGCATGGACGCTGGAATCCCTTTCGATCTCGAGGCCTTCCTCAGAGACATAGACCAACTCTTCTGATCCGCG